GAGTGCATTACCTTAATGTTTTTTAAAGGTTTAACTAACAACTTAACAGAAATGTAAACTGCTATCTAGCTCAAACATACCCTAAGGTGGTGTTCGGACTTATTATAATTTTTAGGGAGACGTGGGTAGTGGTTTTACATGCAACAAAATCTACTTATGTTAGCCCTGCTGGTCTAGTAATCTGTGATCATGACTCCTCGTGGTCGTGGTTTAGATTCCCATCACTATCACAATATTACAAATGCGAAAGTAACTGTCTGCCTGTTACGCTTTCGCAGCTAAATCGCTAAGCTGATTTTAATGAAATTTGGCATGGAGATACTTTGATTCTTGAGGAAGAACAGAGGCCTATTTTTTACAGCGATAATCGAATGACACGCGGGCGGAGCCACGGACATAAGCTAGTTATTTATAAATATGTGAATGCATAAATTTGGTGCACTTGCACCATGTTTAATTGAACTATATTGTTTTAAGTGGTTTACAGATTGTCATGTGATTATTAAATTATTCTACTTATAAAAGCAATAAAGATGTGTCATATTGATAGGTTTATTACAAAATGTTTTTAGTTAACTAATATGCTAACTATTAGATCTCAATTAGAACAGACAGAGAACACAGAGAGAGAGAGAGAGAGTCTGTAGAAAACATTTTCTTACTTTAATAATCTTATTATTATTTTCTTACTTTAATTATTATTATCTCATTACTTTAATTATATTATTCGTAGTCTGGTACTACAAAACAAACCTGTAAAAATGTGAAATTTATAAATTAAATAAGTACTATTTATTAATTAATCAAAATATTTTTTAATCACCACTACAGAACAAAAAATAAAAAAATAAACCGGGATATAAAATTAATAAACACCAAACAGCTATGTATACACATTTCGATAATACTCATTCGGCCCAATTTTTTTATGTCCTAATAAATATCTCGTTACACTGGTACCTTGAGTATTTTGTTATTAGTTCTAACACTTAACCTTAGAAAAAACATGAACATGAACACGAATGCGTTCCATTAAGCCTTTGAGTTGAAGAGGTCCTTAAGGAAGACTGGTCCAACTACTTTGTACAGCGGTTTCAGCGAATTCAAAAATGCATTGATTGCGAGGGAATATACTTTGAAAAACCATAAATGTATCGTAAGTCAGTATTTCAACTGATCGAGGCAATATTTCACTGCGGCCCACCACCTTCAGCTTTATAAGGCGCAAATCCGGCCGCATATGGAATACTGTTCTCATCTCTATGTAGGGGCACCTCAGTACCAGCTTCTCCCTCTGGACCGCATCCAACGAAGAGCGACCAGAATCGTCGATAGCCCAAACATCTACGATCGGCTCGATCCCTTGGCGTTACGTAGAGATGTGGCTTCACTATCGCATATATCATGGAGAGTGCTCCGAGGAATTGTACTGACTAATTCCAGCTGCAAATTTCCGCCATCGTTGCACACGGCAAAATTTTCATCCTCATTACCTGGATATTTGGCACTCCACTACTGTGCGCTTTTCGAGACACTTTTTGACCCGCACCACCAATCTGTGGAACGGGTTATGGGACCGATTAAATGAAGCAGATGTATTGTAGTTAAGACAAACGAGTTATGTACTGAAAACTAAAATACGTATGATTATAAATAATTTAATTAATACACTTTAAATGAAATTGTAACATTTGAATATTTTATAAGGGCAATTAATTAAATATTTATTGTTATTGAGGACGACTAAATTATGGTTTTATTGAAAACAGATAATTAGCATAAACTACAACCATGAAAACAACATTAATGAGTTTCATTATCATCACCTGTTGTGGTAAATAATGGTAATCACATGTAGTTTTTAATGGAGACAAAATACTTAAGGCTAGGTCACAGGGACAGACAGATTTCAGTTTCGCTGTGAAAGCACTCACCATTTCGTCAAGCAGGAGTATCTCCATTCACAACGCATTTAACCACTAAATAATATTGACCTCCGGTCTGGCGAAGATACTTATTCAGGCCTATTTTCTTAGCCACTAGGTATGCTTTTCATGATACAAATGGCGATATTTATTTCTGTAAGTTAATATTTTTAGATTTCTTTCAAGATCAAAAAGACTACCGCCAGCAGGAAATTTGAGTAGTCCGTGACAACACTCAAAACCACCAGAAAGTCACTAAATATGAACTAACATTACAAGTCTACACTTTATTCACATTTACATACTTACACAAAAAAAAAAAAAAATTATCTAAATTTTAATTTAAACTTTGTGAATAAATGAATATTTTTCTTTACATACTCGTACACTAAGTTATCATACATGTATTAAAATGCGACTGTCCTAATACCTATTTCTTTAAACTTATCCGTCACTGACGGACCTTTAACTGAGATTATAAATTGCGTGAATAGCCCCCTTTTGAAACACAAGAATACTTTAAATGTCCCTACAACAAAATACCATATGAAATAACCATACCATAGTAATTTAAAATTTGTAATCACAGCAAAATGTCCCTGACATACAAAACCCCTCGAATACAGAGTAAGGCTGTTCCAAGGTTGCTGCTTATCACCAGTAGTATTTAATAAAGTTATAAATAGCTTTTAAGGTTTAAGCTAGCGGCTTAAGGTCAATGGAAAATTTTAGGAATGCATTTTAGCATTCGCAGAAGACCTCGGGATCCTCACACGTAACCCGAAGCAGTGCCAAGAACTACTGCGTAAGGTGGATGACTTATGTACCTGAACGGAGGGAATGAGCACAAAACCTAGCAAATACTATTGCCTTTGTCTAGGTCGGCGAGCGCATTGAAATCCGATGCTTTTTTTAAAAGATATATGCGTACAACACAAAAAAGCGACTTTATTTTATATTATGGTAAGAAGATATTAATGAAATTCGTGATTTTTATTATTCATTAAAATTATTTAAAACAGATAGGTGGAAATTCAAAATGTACTAATAAAGTCGATAATTTAATGAAATTAAGATATGGAATTGATACGGATTCATCTGAAACAACCCGCATAACAAGAAAACTTTGAAATTGATATGCCAATTTATTCAACAATTAATAACACCATAAATATATATAAATGAGTAGATGTTTCCCGCTGTATCACAAATATACAATATTGCCTCGTGTCCGTATCGTTTAATCAAGATGTATGATGATACTCGTATTTTATAGTAGACCAAAAACTCCTGTCTAAGGAGAGGCCTATGTCCAGCAGTGGACTATTGGCTGTTGATGATGATGATGATATTTTATGTAATGATAATTGATTTTATTATAGAAAGCGACATATATTTACATGTATCCATACTTTTAAATTATTAATGTGAAAGTGAGTTTCTTTGTTTGTTTGTTATGCTTTCACGCCTAAACCAAAAACCAATGAAAAGTTACATTATCAGCGAGTAACATAACACGGGCGGAGCCGTGGGCAAAAGCTAGTATAAAATATTAATTTTAGATTTGTATAGTTCTTAAATTATTGTTCTACTGTATTCATTTACGAGATTATTTTTATTACATGTTAACTGCACCATGACTAATGGCGCCATGGTTGAATGGTTGAAATTGTTGCCTCGTTACTATACCGCTAAGCGGGAGATCGAGCCCAACAAAATACCCTCGCCATTGCCTTTCTATTTAATCTTACTTTTCCTTTTATATTGAACTCTCAATTTTCTTATATATGTAGTTCCTAAAGTGCCCGAGACAAATGCAAATAAAATTACTAATATGAAAATACAAATGCAAAGAAAATTACTCGACTAAATCGACGGGCCTGTTGGTCTAGTGGTTAGTGACCCTGACTGCTAAGACGGAGGTCGTGGGTTCGATTCCCACCCAGGACAAATAATTGTGTGATGAGCACGATCATTTGTTCTGTGTGTGATCATTTGTTTAGTTTGGGATCAGACGGCCGTGTGTGAGATGTGTGAAATTATTATTATATTATTATTATTACTCATATGAATATACAAAAGCAAAGATAATAATAATATATTTATCCTCACAAAAAGTACAGCATTTCATTAACAATCTTCAAATTTACATAAAGTGATGCAGTACATTTACCTACATACATATTTTCCTTCATACATACATTTTCGTGAGGAGCCGGTGCCTGATTTAGGTTAAAAACCTGTGCTACAGATCACCGGGTCCTCACCCTATGGTGTCCTATGGTGGTGCGTACCACAAACTTAGAATTAAAACTTCAACGGCCTCTGTTTTGCTTGTAGTTTTAAGGCGTAACTAGAATCACTGTTCAGTTTTCATACATCTTTATGGTTTCGTGTATTATAGTTAAAATATAATTAAATAAAACTATAAAATGTATTTAATAGTATTTTAATTGAGATTGGTTGTGATTGATTGATCATACAGATCTGTTGATAATAGTTAGTTAATACCTATTCGGATAATACGTTAGGAGCTGCATATTACAGAGATGAATATGTTGTGGTGGGTGTGTGGAGTAACGCGGGTCAACCTCGCGAGGAATTCTCACATCCGCGGCAGCCTTCATGACCGTGAGTCATTGCTGACAAGTTGCAAGAGTGCCACCTTTGCTGATGTAGCCGCGTTTTGCGCCAACCGTCTGGCTACGCAGGAAACGTCTGACTTTGCTACCTCCACCAGGTCCGGTAGCTTTCTATAGGAGTAATATAGATTTTGGAGAAAATGAAACAGCCCATAAGACACTGATTTTATTTTAATTATTCATTGATTACATGTTCTTCACAACATAATAAAACAACAGAAGTTATAAAACAACATTAGGTATATTTTACAACATTCATTCATTACATATTTAGGCAATTTTACAATAAAACATTATTACTATTTGTTAAAAATAGGAAACCGGTTAACCCAAGGTTAGATAATATGGATGATAACCAATAACACAATTGGTATTTGGCAGAGCTTCAGGCGAGTTTTGTTTTCTACTATCTATAAATTGACAAACTCTATGGTCACTTGGCCCTACGCGCACGGTAGAGCAGGGCAAGATACGCGAGGAATCTGAATCCGATGAATAGTAGAATCATGTTTACTATGTCCATTACGAAGTTATTCTGCGAAAAGATACACATTTATATTGGTAAGAAAGATATAAAAATAGAAACTTGCTATCAAGATTTTTTTGGTTATTAGGTATTTTAATGACATCATAGCACAGAAAACAAGAAATGTAGAACATTATTTTTTCACCTATTTAAGTTTACCTATGCAGAAAACATATCCTATATATTAGAACCTTTACAGGTTATGAAAAAGACACCGGTTTAATTATCACATGATTAAGTTCCATAGACAATAAACATATAACGGTTTTTTTTCTGTTCTTACCTCAGAGAAACTGAGTGTATCTAGAACAACTTGTCCCGAAGCAGGACAGGTGAAGTTCTCTCTTGTGCATGTAATGGTTTCCACTCCAGACCATTGGTTGACCAAGAGAGCCTCGTTGCCATAATGAAACCAAGATAGGTATGATATCCAAGCCAAGTATGGAGGAACAGACCTGTTGACAACACCAGTTTTACCCTATTAATTCTTAAAAACAGAAAATTAGAACAGAATAAAGATTATCATAGTTTACGAGTACAAATTCCTGTAAAGTAAATAAAATATTTGTTAAAGAAAACTAAACTTTAAATACCGGTGTCTAAATATATGTCGGTAACAATTTCGGAAGTGATGCTTTTATACGATTTGCCAAATGTCAAGGACGGTAGTAGTGTGTAAAGTTACACAAGACACAACCTTAAATAGAATCTGCAATGTTTTGCAATATATCTTAATTCATGCGTTTCTATAAAACAATACACATTTTTAAACGGTAACCTTTAAATTTAAACAGCCATTTAAAAAAAAATACGACATACATCTAAAAATAGCTTCTACCTCCTTATATGTGAACTACTTATAGAATGAGTCACTATCAAGGATACTAATTTAGAAAGTAGATACTGACAATTTGACAGACCTTAGATCTTGGAACATTTACTTCTTAGAATTCATAAAGTGAGTTCATGAGTTTGTGAAGTGTTCGACCATTTCATGAAACTATAGGCATTTTATGTTATGGCCAGCTAATACTGACCAGTATATTTTATATTTTTTTAGTTATATTAGGTAATTTTAATATACGTCTGATCAGCTATTACAAAAAAATGTGTTAATTTCAATACGATCAAAAGGTTTTAGAGTTTCTATAATCTTTCTGAATGGTAATTACAATAGTTTAGATATGTATTAGTTTATGAGATATTAAATTGAGAATTCGAAATTGAGATAAGATAAGCTACACATTGACATATGTATATTACATTATCTCACAATTTACAACAGAGCCTTAACACTGACATTTAGCTGGACGGGTCAACGCCATCTGTGGGAGCTAGTCTAACATACATAGTATATAATAAACATTAATTTGTGTTTACCTTTTTTTGGTCCACGTAGCGAAACGTTTGGTAGTTTGCGAACAGGGGGCGCCACTTACGAAATCATACTCCGTGACTGTTGTTATACAGAAAAAAACACTTACCCGGAATTGAGGAAGAAACCACCGAACAACATGAAGGGAATAATAATGGGAGGGCCCACAGATGCCGCCATGCTGACGCTGTTGCTTGCACATGATATCAGGTACCCTGCGCAAAACAGTTTTTTTGTTTAATTTTTTGTGTTATATTTATTAGTAAATGACGGACGGTAGTAAAAACTATCATTTCATATAAATCATTTTGTCGTTGAATTAATATTATTATTTTATAATAAAATTATTTTTACTAATACTACTACAGCCCGCGTGTATGTCGGTTATAGCGTTAAAAAGTAGTCTATGTTACTCTCTGATAATGCACCTTTCTATCGGTAAAATAATTTTTAAATCAATTTAGTGGTTTAAGCGTGAAAGCTTAACAAACAAACAAACAACACTTTCACATCTGTACTTCCATACTTATATTATAAATATAAAAGTGTGTGACAAAGAGTCATGGTTACAATACGTTGCTTGGTCAAATGTAATATTAGTAAAAAAAATGAGGATGATAAAGTCGCCTATACCCGTGTAGATTAATAACTGGGTGTTTCTAAGTGGTGTGTCAAAAAAAACGTGTTTTGTTAAAATAATGGAACTATTTTGTTGAGCGTTAATGTATTTTTAAAAATAAAGTAAATAAACCAAAATCAGGCTATAAAAAGTAAAACAGAAAAGCTAGAAATTAAAATAGCTAGCGAGTGTAGAAGTAGTGGTTAGAAGCATTTGATAAAGAAGTACATTTATTTTACGTGTCCATTTTCGTTAAACTGTAATACAACGTAGAAATGGACCAAAGGCAAATAAATTACAGCCTAAATAATAAAGACACAATGTAAAATAGAGACGGATCTCGCCCTTAATTATATGGTATCCTCTTATAAAATGATGATACGTCCCATGACCGCTATCACAACCGCATATAACATACTATTACTCTTCCGGACTCGCGTTAAAAGCAATATTTAATTAGCGAGCGCTCCTTACACCTCTTTATTAAATAAACTATAACTTCGTCAACGTCAGCAATAACGTAAAAAAGACTAAAACTTTGGTAAACCTACAAGTCCTGCACTCAGATCCCTAAACCAGAATGACTTACTCATTAAAACAATTACTATAGGTTCTTTTGAATTGCTATAAATTTTGGAGACAAAGTTCTGAAATAATAGCTTAAATCGAACAATAATAATTTGTATTCCACATGATTAACACTGTACAACTTTTAAACTATCGCGTTCCATAATAGATAATTATTTAAAACTATATATTCATATTATTTCTAGAGTGAGAGCGTTAATTCCCATAATACCTACATAATTTTTATTATCCTATAATTATTCTAATGCTGTTAATTTAGTCCTGTCAAGTACTACGTTTTCAGAAAACGAAACGTAGTTTGACAGGGTTAAAGATTTTTTTTGTGATTTTTAGTTTAGTTAGTTTCCGAAAAACAGATCCATAACCATTATCTTCTTAATGTATGTAATCATGTCAATGTTAACCTACAATTTAGTCATAAATTCTTGTCAGATGTTGCAGGCATATACGAGTATATTAAGCAAAGCATAGTTTATTAAACTTTTTAATTTTTTCATCAATTTTGTAAAGTGTCAAAAGAGTAACAATTTGTGAAAATATTGTATTTCTAAAACGATTTTAATATTCGTCTTAATAGCAAACACATATTGCTTTATCGAGATTATATTTTATAAATTAGCTTATGCCTGATATTGTTAAGTTAAAAAAATATATTAGACATAAAAACTTTTGAGGACACCCCTTTTCAGGATAGTTTTCAATAATTAGTAACAACGAAGAGGGCTTGGGAGAACTTCTGGTTATAGTTATACTGGTATGTATACATACACCTGGAGAATGTCAAAAATGGAATAACAATACTATTTATGTAAGGAATTTTACCTACATTGTAAACGTGACCTACGATTATGTAATTAAATTAACTGTACTAACTGGTTTTGTTTTTAGGTTTAGGTCTGGTACGAAAACGATCGAGTTTCAATTTAATTTGGAAGTTTTAAAGCCATAATTGCCGCGAAGAGGCATTCATTTAAAATCAGAAGAACTTTAGATACATAATTCGTTGTCCTCCGTGCACTGTCGTCATTATTGCGAAATATAATCTGATGGACATGTACTCGTATAAGATAAAATTACTAAGAAGATTTCATTGTTTTATATGTTACGCAACATTACTTAATATTGCACCACAGTGGAATTTTTTTCGTTCGTTACTGACCTTGGTCATAACATATATGTAAGTATTCCTTACTAAATAGCATAGCAACTAATCTTGTATCGGTTCGGTTTTAATTTAATTATGTATGCTGTGGTTGAGTAAGGTCCAAGGGGCCCTAAACATCAAGAAGCTGTTTGTGTGTTTATTAAATAAAAATGGACCATCTAGAGTCATAGGAGTTATCTACTATACAGTCAGTTATTTGCCGTGGAACTTGATGTATAGGTTGTAAGGTGAAAGCCACATATACATATGTATAAGACAACTATTAGAATACCACTGCAATGAAGTGCTTGTCTGTGTTTTATTAATTAAGCTTTTAAAGTATTTTAACGTAAATATATATAGATACAACAGCTCAGCATCCGTTTTTTTCGGTTCTTCAACCGATGTCAAAGAGCTTATTAAACAAACGTGTTATTTTTTTCTCGATGGACGTACGACATCCATCGAGAAAAAAAACGGTGAGGAAAGAAAAAATAAAACCGGTCATGTACGAGTCGAGCTCGTACGCCGAGGGCTCCGTACCTACCCAGATTTTATGTAGATTTTCGCGAAAATTTGTAGGTACCAAAATTTATCTTAATTTTCAACTTTTTTATTTTTTGGAATTATTCCTTTATTTGTGCTGTAAGACGTTTCTTGTTGCCAAATTTTGTGATTCTAGGTTAACGGGAACTACCATATAGGTTTTCGACCCAAAACCTATAGGGTACTTCCGGTTGACCTGGAACTGACAATTTTGGTTAAAAGCAAGGTCTTACAGCACAAGTAAAGAGAAAATGCAGAAAAATAAATAAAGTTGAAAATTAAGTTAAATTTTGGTACCTACAAATTTTCCTTCCGTTCCTTTTTTACCTTTTGAGGTACGGAACCCTAAAAAACGGTAGGTAGACTAGATTGTTGATCTCTGGCTGTCACTAATTGCTTTTAGTCGTCTACAACACAAAGGGATACTTAAAAAGTTCTGCTTCTCGGAGCAGTACAGAAACCTTAAGGCTCTTTCCTAGTCGGCTGAGTACCTGTTTACCCGAAAGATTTACGTCAACTGTCTTGTACAATCTCTATGAACTCGATATACAACCTTAATCATAAACCTCTTTGTTGCAGTAATCCATCAAACACGGTCAGTGCAAAGCTACTTGTGATGTAACATAAGTGGTATTTACTCTGATTGCCCTCTTATGAACCTCGGAAGGCAATGTGTCCTAGATCGTGCAAGAATGAAAATGAGATTCAAATCCCCCCTGTTCTATCCTTAGTGGACTTAGTCACGAATGGAGTGCACCCGTCCACCCTTAATCAGTGCAATGAGGTTGCAATGAGGGTGCAATTAACAAACAATAGTGTCAACATAAGCTGTGTAAGTTTTACAAAAATGAAGATTAAATAATTATAAAAAAAACATAAAAAGCACCACCCAAAGGTAGACTGGGAGAAAATGCCTTTGGCATTAAGTCCGCCATTGTACTTTGTTTGTGCAAAAAGAATTAAAATAAAAAAATAAAAAGCATTCGGTTATCTCTGTACAAAGTATTATTAAATTTCTTCTGACTATCAATGAATGTAATGTAAATTTAAAAAATCGTGAAAGGTACGTTTTAATAATTTGTAAGAAAAGTAAATATTAAAAAAAAAATCAATTGTCGCTTACTACATTTTGAAGATATGTAACACAAGTATCAGCGGCCACTCTTTCATTCACGACCCTTCGCACTCACATTTAAACAAATCTTCGCGCATGGAGTTCGAGGGCTCGTTTGAGCATTTTCTAAAATTCTAAAATTTACGTTTATTTCACGTCTAAATGGGTAGGTGGATACCTACCCATTTAGACGTGAAATAAACGTAAATTTGGATGGATTGGATAACGGATGGCGGTAGTCACTTGCCTTCAGGTGACCCGTCTGCTCGTTTGCCCCTACACCCATATACCATACAAAAACGTATTAAACACTTGGCGTTCATGTAATAGGGGCAAGCCTATCGCTCTTAACCGGGGAATACCCATATTGATATTAAATGGGAAGTAAGAGGTGATGAGTGAGAAGTAAGGTGATGGGAGAAAGCGCATGCTGCTTATGAATTAGTGTGGGCAAGCAATAAATCAAGCAGATTAGGGTTACCGTAGTTACAAAGCTTTCTTCAAATAGCATTCTAACATCCCTCGCCTAGACATTCGCTATTCTTATTTTATATGGATTAGGGGAAAAACCGGTAGACAGGTCACCTAATGCCAGAAGACTACCGCCTGCAACTAAGAGTCTGACGTGCGTTGTCACCGATTGTGCCTCGCCCCCCCCCCCCCCCCCCAAAGTGGATTTATTATATTTCTAGCTCCTCCAATTTTCTTCTAATTAATTTCGTTGCGGGTTCCAACACTGCTCAATTTTTTCCACGGACTTCTCGAGTGTCATAACTCGGTGTGTTCGTGGGTTACTGCTGTTGATCCTAGTGTACAGGTGTTACATTGGTGGGCAAGTGGGAGGGACTAGTTACCTCCTCAACATTGGTTAACAAAGCCGTAACCTCCCCCCCCCCCCACTTGTCACCCTGTCGAAGCTTGGCTTCCCCATAGTTGATGAAAATGGTGATAAGCACTTACCGAATGAAGTAGCGACATTTGTTATCAGCGCTGCTAATCCTGAAGCTATCAAGAATCTCTTCGGGTCAGGGTTTAGGCCAATCATGTAGTACGCTATGGTGGTGAAAACTAGCGGTATTGTTGCAAACACTGGCGCTTCTGCCAACGTCTTCGATAGGAAGTATACATCAGCTCGATACATTCCTGAATGATGCTCTCGAATGAAGATTGGGAGCTCTGAACAAAATACCTGTTCATAAAAATATAATTGGCTAGAAAAATAGTAACAAATTCACATACCCCACACGGCAGTCTGATCCTAAACCAGGCAAAGCCTATTACCATACTAGCCTGCTGATAAACTTACTTATATATTTCTAAACACATAAATATTATAGACAAATTACACTCAGACACAGAACAAATCGTGCTCATCAGACAATATTTGTCTTAGGCGGGAATCGAAGCCACGACCATGGTTTAGCAGTCCTCTAACACCTACGGAGTAAGAAACGTACCTAAACCTAACTCCTATCATTTGCCTTTGTGAATCTTGAGCATAAATTAGTTGTCAATTAGGACTGTCCTTAGGTTCATATCAATACAGTTGGCTGGTAGTATCGTGCGATATTTTAGATGTATCGGCATTGGCAATAGGCATGGAATAAAATCACAATCACTTGCGGCAAATCATATAATCATGACTGTGGCCATTTTACAAATCTGCGACATTATTATCCGTCGTAATCTTTAATCAAAAGAATTTTGATGGGATTTATGTTTGTCTGCGACCAAATCACAAGCATAATTGAAATAGCTGTGACTAAAACCAATCATTTTGTCTTATGATGATGATTTAAAAGTAGCAATAATTTGCATGTCTAATTGGCAACATTGTAACTAATGAATGAATGGCGAATGCAGTGCACATCAAAGAAAATAAAATCTTAGTTAGAATATAAACGCTTATATTATTCTTAACTAGCTGGTGTCCGTGACTTCGTTCGCGTGGAATTTAAAAATTTAAATTAAAAGGTTAAATGTTTGTAGGGTTTTTCTAGGAGAAAGCCTAAGTTACTCCTTATATAGAGAGATACCTGGTAGTAAAAGTTTATCAAAATCGGTCTAGCCGTTTTGCAGATTACCCGCTACAAACAGATAGACAAAAAGACAAAATATTTAAACCGGCTTTTAGGCTTTTAGGGTACGTGCAAGTAATTGAAACGATGCATTTGCATAGATTGAAGCGAATTTTTTAAACGCTCATTCTTATCTCTTTATGTGTACTTTAAATTCTCTCTCGATTGTATATGTAGCCTCTTATTTTTAAAATATGTTTCTTTTTAATTACTCCTAACAGGGTCAGTGATAGTCAGGCCGAACAGAACGAAATGATGCAGATTCTAGGATGTAAAACTTACATTTATAACGGCAAAGATATTTTGGAAGGTCATGTTAGTGAGGAACATAAAGATGGCGCCGTTGATGTTCATCACACCGTCCTGGTCCAGGTGCTGTCCGAAGTATATGACCCCGATAAGAATTGACACCATCTAGAACAAATGGTTTATTGAGAATTTTGACCATGTTATATTTAACAGTAAATATAGGGTTTCCATTCTGGGAGACATCGTCAATCAAAAATTGCATAAGCAGTTAAGCAAAATGGAAGTAACAGAGGAGGTTCTCTCGTAATAAGAAAAAGCATTGAAAAGAATCTTTATCAGCGGACCTCAGGTTTTTTCGCAGGCATAATATGGCTTTTGTTTTATAATTATTCATAATGGGATTCGTAGCAAATAGCGTGTATGATTCTTAATTTAAAACAAATAATTTACTGTTCTGAAGAAGGTTATACTCACAATGGTCTGCAAGAAACGAACTTTGATAAGCATGGGCTCTTTAGTGACGGAGAGCCAAGAGCGCCACAGAACAGCCCGGAACTGCGCCCACCAGGACGCTTTGTACGGAGATCGTTTCGAGCGGAACGCGGTCACCTCAGACCAGGGTTGGTCGGCCCAACCAGATGCTATTTTACGCTGGTTTTGATAAAAGAAATAAACACATTATATTATTATTTTAAGATTAAAATAGAAACCCACCTTAACCACCACCACCACCAGGAAAATATTTGATGATGATATTTTGATTATTGATCGACCCATCAATAATCTAAATATCATCATCAAATATTTTCCTGATTAGCTTTCCTCCGCGGCTTTAAAAATGTACCCTCTGTCTTTCTCTGTACAAGTACCTGTGTCAATATACATTTATGCATTTTTTTGTGTAATAGGTTTAGTACATTGTAGTTTAATAATTGAAACAAACCCTATACCAACCCGTATGGCCAGCGTAGTATAGTAGGCCATAACCTCCTTTCTAAGGAGAGGCCTATGTCCAGCAGTGGACTAGCAAAGGCTGTTGATGTGAGATTTAGTAGCTAAGGTGTTAAATGTAACAAAAAATAACTTTGGTAATGTATTAACTTTAAATGTTATGTTTTACATTGTTCATCAATATAACTGGAACTGTAACTTTATAGCCTTTCGGTACCACAGCAGGTCAACACAATCACACTAGACCCAGTAGCATATTGTAATTGACTATAAGAGATATCAAATTAAAAGTTTAGCTTTCTGCAGGTAAGAAGATATAGGTAAGATATAAACATTGAGTATTAAAGAAAATGTGTGCGTCTTTGATTTTGAGAAAAAAACCGGTTTTGCCCATAGTGTGGCGGCTCTCCCTGGGTTTAAAAGTTCTATGCCCATCAGTTGCTACTATCATGAGTTTTATTATTTAATGGCAGAGAGACAACTCGACAAACATTCTCCAGATGTTCAATAAATTGCTTGGTAATCGCTTTCACTTCACAACGTGACAAAAAATTTCACTCAATTTTTCAGTTTTTTTGTCTAAATATCGGAATGTTACAGTGACGGCTATGTTAAACCAGAAGCAGTCCGTTCAGTAACGTTTTACTAACGAATACCATCATTTATTGATAAAGGTTATTATTATTAATAATATTTAATTTTACATATACATGACATGATCCGTTGTTATAACTGTAAGTATAGTTAGCATACACACATTCCGTACCTACTCTACGACTATAATTACACCCTAGACATTGATTGACGTGTGACCAGGCGTGAGATCCTATTAAACTTCAAATGCATTTACGCTTCTTCTGCAATAAATATTTAAAATATCAAACTGGTTGTTTAGTTAATGTTGGCTAGTAAAGTGGTGTATGTACAAAGAAAATTATAACCTGTCCAATTGCTATTATAGTCTTGCTATTTTTATTTGTCTTCGTAAATGATATTTGACTTCTAGGCTGTTATTCCAAATAATGATTATACATACCTCATAATACATCGCATTCTCAGCTTCAGCAGCGATTTTGCATCCGATTTCGGATTTTGCAAAAGCCGAACATACTGTATCAATGGTTGCCCTCGTGGTCTCTTCCCTGCCAGGTACTCCGGCCAGAAGTTGAATGAAGTGGTCGGCGGGATTATAATTGGGTGGGCATGCTGCACCCAACCTATTGAGTAATAATCTTAGTTATAATAAGGAGAATCGTGTCGCACTAGTGTTATCACTGTGTCGCACTGATGTTACTGTTCTGTCTGTGTATATATATATATATAGATGGTATATATATATATATATATACACCAGCTTTTGCCAGCGACAACAGACATCGTAGAAGACACAATGAATCCATATTAAAGGTATATGTATGAAAAAAGGTACAAACTAAAGATTTACTGTGAGTTTAAAAACGCTACTACCAAAAATTACTAAGTTTCATATGACTTTCTTACCCCATTTTGCACCCTTTGGTTAAAAAAATCTTTCTTAGTGCACACCTAAGGAACATTTGTACAAAATTTCATGCTTCTAGACCCAGCGGTTTCAACTGTGCTTTGATCGATCAGTCAGTGAATCAGTCTGTCAGTGTCTTCTTTTATAGATATATAGATAAAAATAAAAAGTCGAGCCAAGCTTCAAAACCTCAAAAATTATGTCATTTAAATTTTGATACGGTAAACAAGCCGCTTCAAAGATGTTCCTTATCTATTTTTTGTAACCACAATGTGCCACAGCGAAGAGTGGCAGGAAACAACTAGTTAGTTGATATTTATTAAGCCTTCTGTTTAACATTCGCAACAAATTGTTAATTTACATTGAATCTCATATTTTATTAAGTGGACATAAAGGATATATGGACAAACGAATAGATTTCTAACAATGATTATATTGACTAACTTAAATTTTGTATTTATTTCACGTCAATCTTTATTTAAAGTAAAATCCGTTTAAAGCGATGTTATGTAGATATATGACGAAAAAGAGGGTTTGTGATAAATTGTGTTATACGGGATATTGGGAAATGTTACTTATTATAATGTTTTATTTATTTTTAAGTAACGTTACATGTTGGTTTATTCTCATTATAATTACATTACTTCAAGTGATTACTTTAAGTACTGAAATTATTCATTTTGGTTTGACAACAATGTGTCCAGGGACGGACTTATGTAAAAGGCATTCGCATGATTTTACCATAAACGCAGCTGAAACTGCGAGAAATTCTTACTATACTTACTATACTAAAAAAAGTACAGACAAAATATTTTATTGAAGAATGTCAAGTGATGAAGTGTGTGCAAGTTTTGACCTCAAAAAATGTAAGATGTCATAATTATAATATTCGCCTACACTTATAGCAATTATACGCTAATGTTTGCACATAACCGAAACTATTTTTAACAATTGGAAGCTTCATTACACACTGTTCAGCTGAATTCATAATTTTGGTTCTGTAGCTCTATGTGACAAAACCATTTTACTTACTCTTTAAAGAAGTCGTTGGCTTGGTCCGGAGAGCCTATGAAAGCAACTTTGCCGTCAGCCATGATGAGCAGCTTGTCGAACATCGTATACAGCTCTGAAGATGGCTGGTGAATGGTGCATACTACCGTCTTGCCTTTGTGGGCGAGGCCCTTTAAAACCTGTTTTGTAAAATTAAGGTTAGTTGTTCAGTTGGACTATGTTACAAAGGCCGTCATCTGCCGTAACTATCTTACAAGTGCTAAATTAAGAAAGTTGCAACTACCAAGGAGAGAAATAAGGAGGCAGAATGCATATACCTGTGCAGGTCAAAAACCTACCTAAACCTGATTTACCTAAAAGTCATTTTGCTTTATGCTTTTGCGTGTTGTTTTTTTTTCTTAGCACATAGTTGTAACATCCGTATTTATTTGTTGCTATGAGAATCAGTGGGTGGCAAAGTTATAGTCCTGACCATTTAAACCGCTTATAGTTCCAGTTTTTTTCTTTAAACCAATTTTTAAACCTCCTTTCTAAGGAGAGGCCTATGTCCAGCAGTGGACTATTAAAGGATGATGATGAAACCAATTATTTATTAATATTACATTAGACTTTAACGAAATATGCCTACTAACTAACGACGTATAGAGGAAAATGATCAAGGAAATGGGAAAACCAATTTTTGACACCTCTATCAAGAAAGTGATATTGATTGCTTGCATTTACGTGTTTTAAGTAAATAATATATTAACTAATGCATATATTTTTCTCTAGACTATAACACACAGGCACAACTTAATATGATTTGAATAAATTTCTCCCACTCTGCTAACTGTATGCAAGAGAGAACAAATGCGCGCTGCAAATTCAAATGGTGGGGTCGTAGGCGGGATAATTAACCTTTTTCTTCACATTACCTACACTTTGGCGGAATTGTCGATATCGGCACAGTTTGCCATAATAAAACAAAACGTATTTCTTTATTTCACATATGACTCAATATATTTCTTAAGTACTACAGATCCATCATTTACCCGATTACCTAGAGAGAATGCAAAGTCCATATGGCATTCGATGAACAACTTGATTATTATAGAACATTTAAATATTTTGCGCACCAAGCATAGTTAGCCATTAATGAATGATTGTATCTGACAATATTTAACATACAAATAGTTAGGCCATATGATTTTAATTCTATAATATATATTGGTTACAAATCGTATTCTAAGTCAAATAGTGTTTTACAATATATTTCTTTAATTTATTTCTTTTATAAAAAGACGACTCCCGCACTAGAATTACATCCGGTGTCGCGAGGGATGTTACAAACATACATAAAATAGACATAAAGCAAATCCAGACTCAAAACAACAATAAATAGATCGCAAAAAGTGTTGTCCTATGTGGGAATCGACACACAACACTCAGCATAGTAGGACACGGCGAAGTGACCGCTTAAACCACTACGCCATCCGTGCAGTCAGATTGCTAATGTATTATTAAAGTGTAGATTAAATATTTTATTATTTAATATTACAATCTTATTAAGGCATATCTTACCAGATAATATATATATATAAATACATATTAAAAACTACATACACTATGCGTTGAAGCTTGTATGAAACTAATACAACATACATTGACAGGGACATTCTTTGTAAAGTCTGAGTTATTATCAGAATGACAGATGGCTAAATTTAGTAAACAGTGAAGAATAGAAGAAACAAGAATACACAAACTATGAAGGCTCTGGAGAAATCAATTTTTAAGTATCCCTTTATCGAAATCTTTGTCCAAATAAAATAGTACGAATATAAAATATTAACCAACCTGAACAACGTTTTGTGCCATGAAAGAGTCCAGGCCGGAGGTGGGTTCGTCACAGAACATGAGAGGTGGATCTGTTAATACCTCGCTGGCGAAGGAGAGGCGTTTCATCTCCCCTCCAGAAATACCCTTTAGACGTCCTGGGATGCCGATCACTGTGTTCTGGCATTTTGAAAGTGCTAACTGCGATGGGAAGAAATCGTTAAAATGTAAGAAGTTTCATTTTGTAGTCTTATAGCTAATGTAGATTCCAGAAAGTACAGAAAGCAAGAAAAATTAAAAAATAAAGTTGTAATTAACAATCACACAATCTTTTATCCTTTTTTTTTTTTTTTTTTAACGTGTGGAAATCCCCTCGGACCGTCACCCCACCGGGGTTTGCGGCGGGGTGGTGTGTCGGACTCGGACCGACTAAAACCACACGGTGTGCCACTCTGCGCCTGTAACAGGAGGGATCCGGGAACAGCTGTTATTAAGACATCCGGACCCCTCCTAGCGCCAGCCCGCTCCTGTTGCGGGCTCCGTCTCAAAATTTTCCTCTCTTTAGGCGACGTCCGGCACACGCGGACGCCGCCCCCTCGCGGCTGGCCAAACTAATGCGGGTGGAGGGGAAACCCACCCCGTCCACCCGCGGCCACACTCAGGGCGGCATGAGGCGGTGAACAATCTTTTATCCTAGCGCAAGTAAAGTGTACTTACTTCCCAAATTGGGTCAGTTGATTACATGTTTTTTCTGGGTTTTTTTAACAATTAAGTATGTTAATCTCAAGTTACTCTGAAATTTTGGACGTTTACGTGTAAATTAAAAAGTAAAAATAATTCCATTCATAACTAAAAATATTAAAAGTTCCCAAAATTCGTCTCAAAGAAATCAATGCAAGTATCACGGTGCAAGTAGCTGGAGCGGGAAAAGACTCGGGTTATTTGCGTCAGTAGCATGCTCAAGTTACTTGCACGTTTGGTTGATATAATGTGCATGCTGCCTTGCCTTGCTGATGACACAGTTCAGTACCAGCATCGTGAAGTAGCACTGCATATGTATGTAGATATGTATTGTGTATTTGTAAATGTGTTTACAAGTACTAACCTCAGATATGACTTCTTGAACTCTACGCATGCGCATAGCGTATGGAATGTGACGGTCCATACGTACCATAGCCTGGAAAGGGACAAAAAAATTACTAGTCGATCTTTTTAGTGGTTAGTCTGGGACAAAGTTTGCGGTGTTCAGAATGCAAAGTACCGATATTGTAATGACCGTTACTCAATGTACATCTGATGCTATCATCAGATGTACAGGATTATATAGTCCTGTATAACGCAAGGGAGCTCTCAGAGTAGACTCTAAATATTCTGATTATGTAAGAGCTGCTATCAAATATAGAAAATATTATTCTAAAGTTTAGAGCTTTGAATGTATGTTTTGTAATCAGCTAGTCCTTAATTGATTCGATCGAGTGTCTTTATTACCACGATAAGAACCAATAAATCTCCATAGACTGAAATCTTCTCGGCAAATTTGGTACATCAACCAACTTAAAGCCATTTCTTTGAGTTTATTACTACTTACCTTACTTATTTTATCGAAAGAAGTAAAATACACAAAAAATTAACTCACCTGAAATATCAGATGTTCCTTAACCGTTAAAGTTCCAATAAATAGATCTTGTTGCTGTACATAGGCTGATAGAGCAGCCAAGGCTTCCGGTGTTGCTGGCTGACCATTCAAGGCTCTAGTACCGCTAGATAGAACTCCTGAAGGCGTGCGGAATGTCAAAGTATTTAGAAGTGTAGTTTTCCCAGCGCCAGAAGCACCCATGATAGCGAGCAGCTCGCCGGGGTACGCAGCACCATTTACTTGAAAAAGAAAATAAATATCTAGACTTATGGTGTCGGTTTCATCGCTTTGCTACGTCTGCCAAATAGAAAAGTATTAGCGTCTGTTACAGAAGCGCATCACCTAAAAGCAGATGTCATCCTTCTGCTGATGACTTTGTTCACGAAGAGGAGAATTGTAATAAGCTAGTTCCAGACTCGATAGGGAGCTTTTCCAAGGGACAAAGGGGTAACACTCGACACCTGACACCCATGCGGAAGGTCACTCTTTAAAAATACCCCGTAAGGACCGAAACTAATCAAGCATCTCCAAAATACACGCATGAATATTATTTTAAATAAAATCGTTTATCCTTCATAAATAGTGCACTTCGTACCAGTATTCCCTGATGTATATTTTATTAGTTTATTTCAAAAACCTTAACATACCATTCCTTAAAAGCTGTTTTCGTTGCTGAAACATTCCGCTTGTTGAAGGCTTCCAAAAGTTCCAGAATTTTCTGTTTCTAGATCTGGACTCTGTGGCGAAGGCATTTATATCTGACCATGTGTAAGTGACTTTCTCAATGCCACCGATTGCTCCGTAGTTACGAGGTGTGGGCAGTGATAAAGTAGTCTCACCGCCACTGCCGCGCGGCGTGGAAGCTGGTGACCCATCTTCCTAAAAATATAAGTCCCGGAATTTAGTTTCTTACATGTAAACGGCCATAATTACTGATGGTAGAGATATGTACATCAATCTCCTTCGTGATGGCGAGAAATAGATTTTCTTCTAAATGGTTTTACTTAGTAGGTATACATAGTCAGTCGAGTCAGACAAATAATTATAATAGTCTCAAACCAAAACATTAAAAGAAAGATTCAATTTTATTAAGCAGTAGATGGTAAAACAATCACACATGGTTCAAGAGTTGGAAGCCGTCGAAGATAAATAGATTTATGACAGACAACTAAGATCCTAAACTGTGTGAAACACAATGGCCTCGGCTATTTACCGCGTCCTCATCATCGTCTAAGTATTAAGGTGAAAGGTCGGACCAAATTATTTTGTATGATCTCCAAATATTTGTTTCGGAATGTGGGTGTTTTTTGTGTATCATATGTATGTATTCACAAAAAAGTAGGTATATAAGTTTTCTATCAGTCAATCTAGCTTTCATAGTACAAGCTCTGCTTAGTTTGAAACTAGATGGCGTTTAGATGTCCAAAAAATGATTAATTTAAAAAAAACTTGGCTCCATATGCCTTTTATATACTCTTCAAGTATATTTTTAATTTTTACATAACATGTTTCTTTATTACTATTTTAATAAGATCTTTACACCAATTCACGTTGTAAATGAGAGATATAGACATATACTATATGGATATCTCACTTCTAGAGAGTATGTCCTGTCTATATTTTGTAATTATTTATCCTGTTCGGCACCTATTGGTCGTAGAGTGATGTTATAAAGCTTATAGCCTTCCTGGATAAATGGGCTTTCCAACACTAAAATTCAATTTCAATTCGAACCGGTAGTTCCGGAGATTAGCGCATTTAACCAACCAAAAAAAAACTCTTCAGTTTTATAATATTAAGTATACGAGTAGATTAAGTTATGTTATATCTGCAATATAGGTTGACTGCAGTATTTATCATAAGTTAAAGTGTAAATAGAGACTAAATATACTTATCTCTTATACTAATTAGTTGTATCTCGTCGAGAACATATTGACGTAAACTTTCTGAATAATCTTATTCATGATGAACCACTTGCTTTCAAGAGTGTAACGTGAAGTTGTGTGATGGTTACCGACTAATCGCCAAGCCTTGTTCGGCGGCGATCTTTAATAAGTTTGTAAGGAATTACATTGTTCGCATAATTTTTTTAAGATTTTGTCAAAAAAAATTTTTTTCGTTTTTTATTTCACTGTACTTTTACAGAAAGAGCAGAAAAATTACCTTAAATTACTTATATCATAATAATTTTACGGTTGAACACATATAATGAATTGACATTATTTCATAGAAGCTTGTGACGATGAGCAATAATAAACTGAATTGAATTTCTTTAAGCAAAGCAAAATTCAAAAGAAAGGGTTTGTAATCGATAAACGTTTTTGCATTCCCCTCGTTATCAGTTGCTAACAAGAGTTTAATGCCATTGACTGGAAAATTACACCTGACTCCTATGTAAAGATACAAGGTTTAGTAGAACAAAATGCCATGAAACATATATTAATACATTAAATGTTTACATACTATATTCGTTTAAAGAGTATCTAGTTAAACTAGTTTTGCTAGTAAGAAACTCATCTAAAGTAGCTATTTAAGTATTGTCGTGTTATCCATATCCATACTAATCCATACTAATATTATAAATGCGAAAGTGTGTCTGTCTGTATTTCTGTTACCTCTTCATGCTTAAACCTCTGAACCGATTTAGATGAAATTTGGTATAGAGATAGTCCAAGTCCCGAGAAAGGACATAGGGTTTATCGTAGATCAATTTTTATCTCAGAAATCATCGTTTAAGGGGGTGAAAAGAGGGGTGGAAGTTTGTATGGAAAATCAATAACCGCTAAACCGATTTACATGTAATTTGGTATGGAGATTCTTTGATTCTTGAGGAAAGACAAAGCCTACTTTTTACAGCGATAACCGACCTTTACGCAGGCGGAGCCGTGGGCAATACCTAATATAATTATATAATGGAAACAAACGCAATCAGGACATATTGTATATAAGTGGCCTCGGTCGCAGCGACTATAAGAGGCCTCTCGCTTCAAACCTTAATTCGTCTTATGATCCAAAGCGTGTGTGTATGCGTGCTTGGGTGATGGTGAAATTTAAGATAGTAAAAAAGGGAAATTAGAGAAAACTAGTATGCATTCAAACAGAAGGCATACCAGACCTGCAAATAACCAATACCACTATTTTAGTTCGTTTCTTAAGTACACTGCGTACCTTGTTACGTAAAAATAAATAACATAACCAGCAATTTCTTGAAAAAAAGTTGCTTTAAATTAGATAACGAAAATTAGGATAGACTAGCAATTCAACGAATCCCTCTAACTTCCAACACGTTTGTTCCAATTCCATCAAAGCGTATATAATATTAAACCGTAACAAAATAAGTTCTTATAGGAAACCTACAAATTCGGTATTTAATTACCACACGGAATTAGGGGTGCTTGATATCCGGAACGAGGTATTTGGTTACAAAGCGATTCCTTACGATACATCCAAGCCGCCTTTAGCCGACAAGAGCTGACTGTAAGGCGTCATGTTTCTCACGGCCTCAATATATACATACATAAATTACATAGTAGTGAAATATAAAATCGACGCTAAAAATAAATCTATATGTTAAAGCAGCAGATAGGCTGTAGTTTAGCTAATATAATGCGTTGCCATGCAAACCGGTTCCTCTAATCATTTTTAATGAGGTAATTTAATCTTCTATTTATTTATTTCCTTTAGAACTTACGGACAATGGACTTAATAATTACAAAAACTGAATATACATTAAATAAGTAGCAATTATTAATGACAAGCTTCCACAGATAAAATCTCTACTTTTCTGATCACCTGAAGTACATGACTTTAGGTGTTTAGAAAAGTTGCATCCTTCAAAATTTCCTATTTCAGTTTTTGAGTTGCAAAGAATAGTATCTTTGCAACTCGGAAAAAAAAGGAAAATCATTTTTTCCCAGTGACGTTTTGAACAATGTCATTTTATTTTTGAACCCATTCACATATCTGTACAAGTTGGCTATATTGTGTTGTTTGTCTTGTAATTTCAAATTTAATTCGTTCAAATATTGTGTCATATCATTTAATAATGCAAGATCAGCAAGAAATTTAGGATCTTGCATTTTACTTTCCATATCAGTTGTATCAGATTTTATTTCATTTTTAAGAAATACGGGCATTTCTTTCCGTAAAGCGAAAAAGCGCACTGACCATCGGATTTCTGAGTGCAATAGCAGAACCCCATAGGTTGCGTCAATTGAAGTTAAAAATTATTGACGACACTCAAAGTTTTGTTGCCGCCTCTAATAAGGTTTGTTATTTTAACAACTATTTTCATGGCATTTATTTGGCGCAAAGATTTTCCGCATAAGGCTTCTTGGTGTATGATGCAATGGATTAAGTATGGATGCGTAAGTCCTGTAACGTTTCCTGTCATAGCTTTTGCTCCATCGGTCACAATACCAGCACATTTTGGAAACCCACCGTATTCCATAACAGTTTATTCCATAACAGTTTCCATAACAGCTGGCATTAAATTTTCTTCGTGATCGAAAAATCTTTTAAAATTATTAATTGACCGATATCTGTCTGGTCGGTACTTTCATCCAAACATAATGAATAATATTCACATGTTACGATGTAATCACATTTTTTTTTCGAAACATATTCGCCCATATCATCTATTCGTCTCGCAACTGTTTGGTGAGATAATGCTACAGATTCAAATGTGTCCGGCAATTTCGGCTGCATGAAGCGGTGAGCCATGGCAACTGCGCATTCTTTATAAAAACTCCATCGCTGAATGGTTTTTTAGCTTTGGCTAATTGCAAACAAACTTCATAAGAAGCAGCCAAACTTTGTTCATTGTCTGTATTTACTTTTAAAAAAAAATGTCTGTTGCGTTAGTTTTTTCTTATCCTCAGTAACAACATTTTTTCTTGCTTCACTGACATATCTTTTATATTTTCCTTGGCGTAAAGTAGTATAATGACGTTAATCATTATAGTCTACTTACAGACAAAACTTGCATACAAATCATACACTGAGTTTTATTATTTTTGTTGCAAATTAAATAGTCAAGTTCCCACTTCTCATTAAATACATGACGTTCATCACTTAATTTTCGCTCCTTCGTAGACATGAAGTTAGTTAAGTATTTTTTTCAAAACTGCTTATAATAAGTTTTTATACTTATTGTTAGGTGTAAAATTCAAAGCGGTATAGGTACGAGAAGTGGCGATACGAACTTAGTAAAAGCACAAGCTTAACTAATACGGACACCAACAAATTCTATCTACAAAAACAAAAGACTTGCTGGGACTTCCCCCAATAATAGTAAAAGATAGCTTCACTTTTAAATGATGTCAGCGTGGTATAGTAGGCCAAAACCTCCTTTCTAAGAAGAGACCTATGTCCAGCAGTGGACTAGTATAAGCTGTTGATGTGATGATGTGATGTGTGTGAATGGACTGTTACAAGAATAAAGATAAATAAATTAAACCAAAAATTGATTATATGTTTTGACAAAGAATTCTATTATCCAAACTATTCATGTCCAAAACTATTTTCTGATTAATTTACACTTTAAAACATGCGTCGCGGGCCGCATAAAAACAAGCCGCAGGCCGCATGCGGGATTTTACGCGTTTATTTGATCCTAGCGAACGGTAGAATAGATTCGGAGTTCATTTCATAGCTCTAGAGTTCTTTATTGTAAACCAACTATCATTGAGGAGTTGGTATGACCATAAGTACGATTATATCACTGTTAGGGAATACAAAATTAATTCAGCAATTAGAGTAGATTTATTTGCTGATCTGCAATGAATTGTAAACGATTACGAGCCAGCAATATAATATTTTTATATTACCCTATGTTTTACGAAACTTTCACGTAGGGTAACGACTTTTCAATTTGTTACGCAATTGACACTTTGTTCAGAAGCCGGGGGCGGACTTTCAAGAGGCGGCGCGCCTGGACACCGTCTCTCACGACAAGTCTCTCTGGTGCACTGAGGCACTGGGCTTACGAGTGGCCATGTATAAAACGGAGGCCCTTTTATTCCAAAGGCCCCGTCATGGCGCACCCCCCGACGCCTCAACTCGGTTCTCGTACCTGGCATGGCCTGCGATGCATCTAGGCTTGTTCTTCAACGGGAGGTTACTCTTCGATAAGTGGTTCCGACAACTTGTTCCAAAGCTTGGGCCCTTGGGCGACTTTACTTTACTCGACTCTGACTCGACTTTCACGGGTTTGTCAAACAGAAAATTGTAAAACAGATTTTTATACTCGCTTTGGACACTGGTTTGAAAGATTTTTATTTATTGAGCAGCTTTATAGATACAACAGGCAAAGAATATCTAATCTTATTTCCTTTATATTACATATAGTACACTCCTTTATATCACTACACAATTATATTACTCAAGATTAATACTAATAGTGACTTCTGGAACAAAATATTCAATGTTTCGAATTTCATCAAAATTTCGACAAAGCTTTTTTTACTCAGAAAGCATTGAAACTGCAATAAAATATTAACTTCATAATGAGCTAATGCGGTCCTGAAAAATTATTGCAAGAGCTTTCTGTTATTTTTTTAACATACTAGTAGTAGGCTTTCGGAGCCTATTAAAAGTACTCGATGGCTATTTTATATGTTTAATTATAAAAAGCAATCTTAAAGTTGTTTAATTTTATTTTATTTTAATTGTCATGTAATAAACCTACCGAATAATATCACATCAATTCATATATACTAACATTGCAATCACGAGATTCAAAAGAAACAAAATTTAAAATCGACTAGTCTAGAAATTTAACTTTTAAGCACATTTGTCACAATTGTAAATAGATATGTACAAAAGCACCTGATGGTTTAAGTGTTTATTTCGTGTTTTATTTATATTACTTATTAGTTGAACAGGTGAGAATCTTAGAGCATAAAATTTTCATCTCATTACAAACCCACATCAGTTTAGCCTGGACATACTACCTAGAAACATTTGACACATACTAGAGGAAGTAACCTATTGCTTTGGATTGAAGGCGATCAATGAACGATGATCGTAGAGTGGTTTAGCCAGGCTTGCGCAATACTCTTGGTCCTACGTCTGTCAAAGTCTTTTAAACAACAACAATGTAAAAATCACCTTAATCAAAAATCGTCGATAAGAGATTGTAAGGGTGTGAATTAAATAACACACATCGTCTTAATCTAATTATTGATTTAGTTATAAACAATTATTTTGAGTTTAGTTTAGAGTTCTCATTTAATGAAAAACAAGTAATTGTAAAAGGATAGTGTGTTTTTTAATAATATGTATGATAATTTAGCTCCTTGTATTTACAAGAAACTTACATAGTGCCTTTACCTAATTTCTAGTACTTATAAAGTACTTACTAAAAGTAGGGTACAAACTATTTTCTGAGTACTGTTAAACTATCTCCAAATATCCGGACCAGGAATAGAGACCCGGATGTGTAACTCTCTGTATCAAAGAATAAGTTTCCACAACTCAACCATGATATTTTATGGTTAAATAAGGTTACTGAATGAAAAACTCTCTTTAAGACATGTCGGTTCTGGGCTAAAGAAGCGTTCCCTTTAAGCGTATCACAAGAGAATCCACGTGCGTTAACATTTTTCAGTAGTTCTGTAAAGTGTTCTAAAAAGCTCACATTCTATCGAAATTTTCAAACGTAAAGTACGTGAAAGTAGACCGAAGAAATTTGTAGTATGATGTTAAGTAAACGTAGGGAACAATGTATCGTCGGTTTAAGATTGATAATAAACCTCTCATCTGCCCTTCATCAATCCCACAACGGGAACAGCCTTGACATAGCATCATGACAATTCTAAACGAACTCGAAATCTGCTACTCTTTCCCTCAATAGTAATACTATAAACTCAATAATAAAACTGATGGGATTCGGTCTGTAGTTTCTTCTTATTATTATTACGTTTATATTATCAAGTAACAAAGAACTATAGAGCTACACTAGCCAACTAGTGTAGCTCTATATTTCTTATAGACTGGACTTCTAACTTCTAATACAGTTATTATTAATAAAATATATTAAACAGCTAATGGGAATATGTACCTATATATCCAGGCGCGATATACTACTTCCGTTAAAAACTATAAATGCAATAATTAAAGAGGACAAAACCTACAATTTTTAGTTTGGAAACAGACTAAAACATAACTAATGAATCTCTTCTTATTTCAATTCGTTGACCTATTACCAATTATAGCTTGTGAATAAAAAATCCATGTTACAAGTGGTTAAACAAAACCAGTTTTAGCGTCCGTCTATAAATGCACATATAATATATCATACATATTAAGTATCATTTGATTTCTTAATAGTTTAAATACAATTTTATATCAACCGTCATAACAACATATTAAGCTCTTCTAGATCAAAAACCATTAGAAATATCTATAAAACACGTTCGAAGAGAAATGAATAGTTATTAGGGCTTAGCAAACAAGATATTTTCCGTATAAATAAAAAACGAACCGTCGCGTCGTCTCAAGCCTATGACTCTTTCGAGGTCATGCATTTATTAACGAACAAGTCCACATCGCACAAAAAGATGAACAAGAATCTTTTATCATCTCTATCATCATAGTCACTAATAAATATTAAAAAGCATTCCACACATATATTAATTATACTTATTTATATCATGCCTAATGATATTTTCAGAAACCATAAAATTGATATTAATTTAATTAGGTTTGTTTTTACTGTATTACTACTGCAGTACTACTGTTTTTAAGTTATGATCAATATTTAGTTATATGAAGATCCATAATATATAGGTAATTAGGTAATCTACCGAGGCAGTACCTATATTAAGATGTGTTATCTACTATTATGTCGTGTTGCTACAATAATGCACTCGGAAACATTATACTTAGGTTCATATTTAACAAAAAAGGTAATTAAATCTTTCAATATATTATGCAACTTAAATAAATACAAAAAAAATACTATGGTACCACATTTCTACGGCTGATTGCTATGTTAAACAAAAAAGAACTTAAAATATTTTGCTGTTCTCAAGCTCTCAGTCTAAATAAACTTAAGGTTGATTTTAAAAAGCAAAAATAAAATAAAAATAAAAATTGTTACTTACATGTGGAGTATTACTAAAGGTAACACGTTGGTTGTCAACCGAAGATGTGATCAAAGGCTCGTGTTCCTCTCCTCCAGCAGTCATTTTTATTTATTAAAACAAGCCGGAAATAACTTAACAATCACAGGAATAAACACATTAATCCAAATAAACGTCACTATTTTGGCGGGAAAAAAATGTCAAGCGAAAAGCCAAACGGCTAGCGATGTGTTGCTGCGCTAGTATGGACGGACATACTAAACTACTCCTATTGACTAATCAACGTGCTCGCTCGACTTTACTGTTTCGGTCTATCTCAGTTGCGTCGCATTCTGTAAAATAAAGAATGTTAAATTTCTTTATAGCATAATGATAACAGCGTTTATTTTTACCTTAACCGTTTGTTGAACTTTGAATACGTTATTATTTACTAAGTGTATACAATGTTTTCCTTTTTTTTCGTCTTTTGGCATTGGCTTTACTAAACAGGGATGCGGCCCGATTGATGGCAAACGTTTACATTAGCCTTTTATTTCACGATCACCAAATTGCCAAATAACGCGATAATTCGTATCTATGTTTAGATTAGCATGTACCTACATATATATATATATTTGTAGCGTCATTACGTACTGCCAATATACTAAAGCTTTGCCTAGGATCAGTCTGAGTTTGTGTATCTGTCTCAAGACCATGATGATTATTAATACGTTTTTACAAATAATTGATTTAGGAAAAAATATCTTAGGTAAATAAATCAAAACTTTATATTTTTAGCTTTAAAATGAAATAGTAAATGAATGCAGCGGTGGGTAAAACAGGTATTGATAACGGACGTGGATGGATGTGGGCCGAATGGTGTAATCCGTTGCCGCCTGGTTGAAGTCAAGGCCGATTCAGTGCTACGCATACTTCGACGCTAAGTCTCACTGATGGTCGTTTAGTTAGTGTGTCTCCGGTTCGTCGTTGTCGACTATAGTTACAGCCCAACCGCGAGGCTCGTTCTTTAACTCAAAATTTTCAGATCTAAAACGATTGAACCAATAACACATGTTTACACAAGCAGTGTTAGGCCCGTACACGTTAATGTTTCGTGTTACTTGCTCAGCGATATATCCACGTAGGAACTCTTATTCAAAAATTGTACAGATTTTCAGTTTATCCATGACGCCAAAAACTTGCATAATTTCACAAAAACAAAACACAATCTGAAATAAATGATGAATTTTATATTTAAATTACATGGCTTTCGAAAAAAATTTAATTGAATTTAGAAGTTGCAACGCATTTGGATATGATTATATGACGGACCTGTTGCTCTAGCAGTTAGTGACCCTGACTGCTATACCAGAGGTCGTGGGTTCGAATCACAGACCCAGGACAAATATTGTGATGAGAACGTTAATTTGTTGTGTCCGCGTATAATTTACCTATATTATGTATGTGTTTAGAAATGTATAAATATGTTTATCAGCATACTGCCTGGTAAGCATAGTACAGGCTCTGCCTAGTTTGGGATCAGGCTGTCGTGTGTAAGATTTCAAGTTATTATTATATACACATATTAAGAGTTGCGATAGATACTTACACGCACAACTCGTGCGTGCAAGTATCTGTCCACTCTTTATTGTTTTACGATGAGCGCATTAGCTCGGCTCTTAATAATTCGTATTTAAAAAGACGTGAAATGTAAAAATCAACCTTATTTCAGACCCAAAATTCCTTTTTTAACACGATAAAAATTTACTCTCCTCTCCAATCCGGTCTATGCGAACGGACCCTTAGGCGGCAGGTGAATGTCAAAAACCTTTTTCAATGCAAACGCACTTGTGTATCCCGCCTGCTCATTTGCCACCTACACAATAATTGAATCTCTTTCGAACCTCGTATTGACCAGGTTAAGGGGTGACGAAATAATACAAAAAATAAGCGTAATATAATAATTTTAATTTTATTCTATAAAATGACATTTGAGATAGATGCAAATATTTTTCAGTAAATTACTTTATACAATAAACGATTCTATTACACATTTCGTTAGTAGTACGATTACAATGACACATGACAAAGGAACTATTGTATGTAGACTTGAGATGTTTGTGATACTTAACTATAACAATGATTTAGGAATATGGCTAATTTATATTTGTTACATTAATATTATACTCGATGACGATTCTCTAACACTTAATCCTTCAATAATATTTGGTGATTACTTACTACATCTTCTTTCAGCCCGCTTACATAAAAATGTAAACAATTTCATGTCATTTTCTCCAATCACATGTGAAAAAAAAAACAATTATATATAATATAGTATAATTTTCACATGAAAATTTTATTAGATATATATAAATATATTAAAAAATGTGAAATGATTGTTTACACTTTTATTAAATATACATGGTAATGATTAGTATATGCGAACTTTATTACTTTCTAAGATCGCGTTTACAGCATCACAATAACCAATTTAACGTCTCCGCAGTGCGTAATACATTAAAAATATAATTCAAACATCCATTTACGCGTACAAGAGCTCTAGACAATGTTCTTAGTATCACTCATAAATAATACAACGGTTCTATTTACATTGCACAAACGGAACTTGTGTAAATTAAAAAGTATTGTGACGTTGCGCGTCACGAGACAGGGTCCATGCTGATATCAGCACATCAAAATAACTCGACGTGCAGCGTAAAAGAGATAAAACTGTGTTTCTTTACTAAGGATTTATATATGTTATGGTTAGATTACATGAAGGATTTTTATTCAACATTAGGTTTCTTTTCGTATCACTCAATTTGAAAACTTCTCATACGAGATGAGCACAAGCAATATTCAAAGCATTATTAAAATAAAATAATTATTCTAGTAGGTACACATCGTACAGTGTAACCATGGATCCTCCGACGCGCAACGTCAATTACTACTAAATCTATTCACGTTAACACTACATAGGAAGCATTAAAATTCGCACGGTGTACTCATGCAAACTGGTGTACCACTGGAAGGTTGAAAATCTAAAGTCATCACTTCTGTATACGAAGTCTGAATATTCTGAAACAGAACCTCAAATACACACGCATCACAATATACACCGTGCGACTTAAAATTATTTTATTCTTTAAATAACTAAACACAAAAGTATCATAAAATAAAATAATATTATCATAATCGGCTGTTATCCCTGATTTATGCATTATACGCCTAACTAAACGGAAAATTTCATTTACTACAATAATCAGCTGCGTTTCGTTTAGCCTATTGGTCATGTTATACACCAAGTTACATTATGATGTAAAGGCAGGAACTATACAGCAACTGGAGTATACAATAATTCGATATTCACAAAAATAATGTCACTCACACTGTTTCATTTGACTATGCAGAAGCAAGTTACATTCAGACGTGATTTCATTTTCATTTTAAATGCTAAATTTACATAAACTTGAAGCTCCTGTCTTTATTTATACTACATTATGACTCCAAGAAGTGTACCGTGACTCCGTGACTATGTATGCTTATATTTTCTACTTCATATATTCAATACTATTTCATATATCAATATAAGGAAGTTACGATTTCTAATCGGAAGTATTTTAAGCACGTTTATGGCAATGAAAGGCTTATGTAACTACGGTTTAATGCAAGAAAAATGTATCTGTGTTGGCTCAATGCAGTCAAAAATGAACATTAATGAAGAATTCACATATCTTCTAATAACATAACAAACAGCTTTAGAGAATGAGTATGCGTGCGGCCACTCAAATGGCCTGAAATCAATATCAGTGTTTTGTTCTTTGTGTATTCTCTAGTGTTTTAATTGTAGGTAACCGCTTAACCCCAACCTTACCTTATACCATGATACACCTTTACCGGGATTCTTGCTAATGACTACTACTTAGAAGAATTCATGTTTATTTCCATGCGTTTCGAAACTTAACGGTATGCAGTTAGATGGTTAACTTTATGAACTCGCAGCTATTAAGGTCGAACAGACTGGTTAAGCAACATTGGGATTACGAAACAACGTTGTCATTATAGAACTTCTCTAAATACATTTTTTTTATCAACCTTTATTTCATATTTATGGAAAGTTCCCGAAAGTTCTTTACGTTCTAGAAGATTAGTACTGGGTCATAGGTAGTCATAGCTTTTCTATTTGGTTCTTTCTAACGTTGCTATCTAATCTTTGAACACGATACAGTTTTCCTACATCTACTAGTATAGTATTAAATTCGAACCTATCGTAACATTAACTGAGCCTGAGCTATTTATTAATATGTATAATATATATAACTATTGCTAACACGATGTGATCAGTCTAGTTTACTTGGCAGTGTTGTATGGATTATTTTGATGTATCGAGTTGGTGCACAAGTCTTTATTACTATACGGCCTCAAAATTTATAAAAAATTAAGGTTAAAACAACCCTAATGTATGTTGTCTCTTCTTACATTGCATTGCAGCGGGGTGTATAATTAATAGTATAATTGATAAATGTAAAATAGGGATGTACAAGGTGTAAGGGACGGTATAACGAATACTGAAATAGTTTATTCAGACCATCATTCTGAGTCGAAAATCATTGGAATTTTCTGCCGTAGACTGCTCGCACGGAATACAAGTGTAGTAATTACTTTTTTGCGATACCTACTTGGAATGACCTTTGATAGCTGATTAAATAAAAAGTTTAATTTTTTCGCCAAAAAATTCCAATGATTTTCGACTCAAAATGAGTCTGAATACACTATTTCAGTATTCGTAACACCGTCCCTTACACCTTGTACATCCCTATTTTACAATTATCAATTATACTAATAATTATACAGTCAGATACGACCTACTGCTTTTGAATCATTTGGGTAAGGTGACCAGTGACCATTAACGCCAGATTCCTCTACTGTTGCTAAATCATTTGGGTAACATGAGGTTATAACAGCATGATGTTGCGGTCAAACGTACTTTCAACTGATTTTGACGGATAAAAATTCTTTTGACCAGTTAGGAGTTCTACCAGCAACATTGTATGTATAAGGAGTTAAAAAATGTCGATCACATTATTAAATGATGTCATATAATTATAACATTACCCTTATAA